CCGACCGTTGGACTAATTGGAGCTTCCAAGCCGTCTTCAAAGGCAACCCCACGTAGAGAGCGTTGCAGTAGTTTTCTTGTATCCCTCTGTAATAGCAACAGCTATCCAGACATGTTGAACTACAGAGGCCATTACCACCACTCCAAAATGGTGGCTGTTTTTGGCTTTCTTGTATGAATATAGGTCAGTGCAACAACAGCATCCTTTTTTCCAGTCATGGACACAAGGACACTTATCAAAGTTAAAAAAGATATAGCTAAAAAAATTGCAACATACCAAAGTCTGAAATATAATTACACTATCAATCACACCAAGAAGGCCTCTTCTGTGTTCCCACCAGATGTACCTATGAGAATAGTAGAGCAGAGGGAAGGGCCTCTCCAGAAGATCAGAAAGCTCATACAGTGGGTAATATGCATTGTAATACCACTTAATTCTACTTTTGTGAACTTTCTTCTTTCCATTATCATGTGCGAGGAAGGCTTAGGTGGAATACCATTGTCACAGAATTCTGAAGTGTAGTAGTTTAGACTGCAGTAAAAGAGCACCTTCTGTAACATTTTCAGTCTTTCATTACTGAAAATTTCTCTGCCTGTAATATAGCAGATATAGTACTGAAAGTAGAGGGCTACCTTTGACTTGGCTCCCTGCTTCCGTGTAAGCAGGGAGCTTTTTCCTTGATTTGGAGATAAACTGAATATTTTAAAAAAAGATTATTCAGAGACTGTTCAATCTACAGTTGTATGTCATTTTATTTGGATTTAGAAAGGAAACAGTCAGTTGCCCTCTAACAGTTAGGCAATATTAATGAGAGTTGACACCACTTTAATAGCTATGGGTCAATGCAATGGCATAACAAAAACAACCACAATAATAATATAATCCCCCATCAGGTGCCACCTTGTCGTTGGCTTAACTGCTTCTGTGATGTTGAGAGCTGTGTTGGCAGTAGTGTAAACTACCAGCAGGTTCAACCAAGTCAGAGTGGTCTCAACTGAGAAGCAGAACTAAGTGCACCCAACCCATTTAAATATGGTGAAACGAACTCTAAAGAAGTCTATACTGGCTCGGTCGTTGCCAGGATAATAAGGACCGCGGTGAGTGCTTCTCCTGGGCACCCGTCGACAAGTGGGCTACAGGAACCAGGACCCACTGCTGACCACAATACTCCTGACCTCACGATCGTGTTAAAAAACAAAGCATGAATTGTTGATGTTGCAATCCCAGGTGACAGAAAGATTGAAGAGAAACAACTGGAAGAGACACGATATGAGGATTTAAAGATCGAACTGCAAAGACTCTGGCAGAAGGCAGTAAAAGTGGTCCCAGTGGTGATCGACACACTGGGTGCAGTTCCTAAAGACCTTGGCCTGCACTTAAACACAATCGGCACTAACAAAATTACCATCTGCCAGCTGCAGAAGGCCACCTTACTAGGATCTGCACGCATTATTTACCGATGCATCACACAGTCCTAGACACTTGGGAAGTGACTGATGTGTGATCCAATACAACAGCCAGCAGAGTGATCTTGTCTGCTGTGGACTCATCTTGTTGTGTTTCAAATAATAACAATAATGATAGTAATGTACAAACAGAGGCACAATTATGTGGCCAAAATGATTCCTTGGAACTTATGTCACAATTTCATGGTCCAGAAGGTAGAAGAGGCAACAAGGGGATTGGCTACTCTTGATCTCATCCTAACAAAT